TGTTGTACTTTAAATCCTACGCAGCGAAATCGTTCATCGGTTTCGTACAGATTGGTCTTTCTTGGACTCAAGTAGGGTTGTCCACTGAAAGGATTTATAAAGTCTGCCCAGTAACCGACCATTTTGAGCTTTGTACATATATCGGAGGCTGCTAAAACAAACTAATAGACTATAATGTATAAATGTATCTTTCCTCTGAGTATGTAGATATATTTAGATTTATGAGATATTACTTTCTTATTTTGAAAACTGTTTTTGAAATTGACAGAAAATTAAATAATATCAGGAAAAAGAATACATTTTCCATGATCTTTGATAAAATATTTACTTTTACTTTTGATGAGTAATGAGATAATATCAAGGATAATATTTATCTCATTCGTGATAATTCAAAAATCATCATTAATTATTAAATGTGTCACTTTTTAAGTAAAGAAGCGATATATATTTGTTATATTTATATTAGATTTTCAAACAAAAGTGCCGTACTATCATACAACATCATCATGTATAACTTACATATTTGGCAAGTTTTTCTGTTTCTGTTTCTTTACGCCATCTCATAGATTTAAGATTTGCTTTCTGATTAATAGTTATAATAGTGAGATGTGACATAGTCACATCTAAGCATCCCGGGAATAGTTCTTCTATACTTTTTCGTAGAAGAATAGGACATTCCTGAGCCACACAGTCCAATGTCGGCTGTATACTCTCCCAATTTTCTACATCTTCTTGATATCTATTTTTATTGTTCAATGATTCCATTAACTCTTCTTTATCACATAGTTTAACGAACTGAGTGTTAACTTGGGCAGTGGTAGTAGCATCTAGCCAAGCAGGTCCTATACTTCCAGGAAGATAAAATCTAAAACCCCTTGGCGTTAATAATTCCCAATTGGAGTTGACACCCAAAACGCTGTTGTCAATATCTGTATTTTTACAATATATCAAATACAAATAGTAAATGTATACACTTATATAAAAAACATACTTTTGATGGCTTATATAAAATTTGAAATTCAATAGAAGTGGCTTCAGAAGTTTTATAGTAGGCTTAAGATCCTAGTTATAGATCCTTTTTTTTATAGCTGTACGTATTGTTATACTTTTTTATATTTAAAAAGAAATAGGTATATATAGGGTGAGATTTCATTTGTGCGTTTTCGTCGTATGACAAATGTGTACAGGACAGAGAAATATTCTTGGATCTTCTCTATCCTATAGCTAATCAACAGTTTAAAAAATTTGTGACAAAACACATGACAAAAACACACAAATAAAATGAAATCTCACCCTTATATTGATGCTATGACTGAGTCGGTAGCCGATAAGTTCTAAGTCTTATCGGTGAAATTGACCAATAGCCAACTTGTATGACTAACGCTGATTGGCCAATTATGTTCATGGAGAGAGGGAGAGGAGAGACGGAACTGACCAGTGATGCACATTTAGCCCATGACAACATCAAAAATGTGCCCCTCTATTTTTGCTCCACCAATTGAACGCTGCTCTCTATTAACCGAACACAGCGTTAATAATTGATGGAGCGAAGTAGAGAGGCGGATTCTCGATGTTGCTGGGGATCACACAAATGTGCATCTCTGCGGAATCCTCCGTAATTGCAAAGTATATGCGAAAAACATACATGTCTATATAGTTGCTTTCCATTTACATCGATTCTTAAATAATTCTCACTTGTGACGTCAATTAGTTGAATGCGCGTTCCTTTTGTATTCTGACAAGTGAGATTCAACTGAGTTTCCTTTACCCATAATCTGCACAAGCTCGAGTGCTTTACCCAGTCTCGTAAACTCACTTCAAAGTGAGGTTACGAACCTGTGTTGACATGTGATAACTTTTTACCGAAAGTAGCGACGTCATTAATCTGAGTATAAAATATTCAGCTCACTTCAGACTCAGTCTCGCTTGTGTGTAAATGGAAAGCAACTAATGTATATATGCGAACGGTTCCCATCCCGCTCGCCCCCTAAAAACAAAGTCAATTTTTTAAAATTATATCTCGTTTTGCGAGACATCGTTCTTAGTAACCCACGAACGATTCCATATGAGTTTACAATTATACTTTCCACACATAGCAAGAACAGAGAAGGATCTTTTTCACGACTGTGACAAATTTCCTAACCTAAATGGTCATCAACTTTAACAATTAATATCTCGATTCACGGGGGGCAGAGCGACACTTTTTTCTGTCAGATTTTTTTTCGTTTTTATGCAAAAACGCGTTGAGCTTAATTTCATGAAAATCGAAATGGACGGGGGTATTTGAAATAAATACCGAAAATTTATACGCGAGTTCTTGCAGGCCCGCAACAGATCACATTCTTCCATTCTGATGATACATTCGAATGAGATGAATAATCCAGGTTACTCACCGTCCAAGGAATCGCCATTAGACTTGACGATCTTGTAGGAGCTCGTGCTTCGGTCGCTGCGACGCGAGTAAAGAACCCTCGGAATCAGATTAAACAGTAACGAGACGCTCTGCCTCCTGCCGTGTTTAACGCAGAACATCTGGAAGTAACGTTTCGCAGGTTATGCATTCGCGAATCGATTGGCTGGCAGGAAACCTCTTGCTTGCACCACAAAACAGAGCACGGTTATCGTTAGTGTTATTGTCGTGTTACTGACCATCACGAACAGCAGTTCATCATTAGGTCGCAAACGCAATTTACATGGAGGATTTTGGATCCGGGCAACAAAAACAGATCGTATTTACACGCTGATCGCAAAAAATTATCATCTACCTTATATTCTTTATTTATAACATATCGCTTGACGTATTTGCTCGTCATTGCTCGTCCGCGTTTGATGCTGCCACCTGCTGGCTGAGTGGCTGGCAGAGTTTCGCAGAGTTTCGATTGTTTGAAGTTTGGAGAGAGTGGCACTCAGTTGCACCCAGTTGCACCAGAGAGGGTAGAGAGTACATCCATTTTCGGTTCGGGAATTACGTACTACGTAGCTACATCCATTTTCTGAGCCTGTCGATAAAAACATAGAGAATACGGACAACCCAGGGCGATAGTTTAAATTGTACGGGCGATTTCGACGGTAACAGGAAAAAGACTGGCATTCGCGGTCTCTCTCTCTCTCTCTCTCTCTCTCTCTCTCTCTCTCTCTGCATGTACTGCTTTATTAGTATTTTGATTTAAAATTTTGCTGTAGGACTTTGAGTAATAATTATATATATTTCTTTATATCACCGGGTGATAAACATCCTCGGATTATTAGGCAAAATTCTTTATTGATTACACTTTACAATTACATTCTTTACTGGATCATGATAATCTGAAAAAGTTCAGTATCTCGTGAAATAAAAACGCCATGCGCGGGAACTTATAATATATATATATATGTATATGTGTATTTTTTCCCACTTTATTTAATTATACGGCATACATTCGTTCTTAGTAAAATGATAAAATTCACATAAATACGTCACGCTATATGGGAGGAGGGGGTGGGGGTGGGCGTAGCTCATATATATATATATATATATATATATATATATATATATATATTTTGCATGCCTGTGTATACGTACAGGTATTGTATACGTCTATGGGGTCTATACATATATGTATATATAAAGATCTAATACACGAGATAAAAACATCGTAAGAAACTAACACGTCGAATTATTTCTCGTCGTTAATATAATCACGTGGATGTCCTCCACTTGGTGTCCAAAAATTGAACATTTTTTCGCATTTTCTCCTCAAATATTCACAATATAGCGGAGCACCGTCGGAATGATTTTTCTCCCTTTTTTCTTCCGTTTCTGTCGTCGAACGAATAATCGTCTATCCAGTGCAATTTCGTAAGCACGTACATATATGTATATGTTCTTCGCAGGCTTCAAATTCGATACGTCGCTTCGACGTCAGTGACGAAAAAGACGATAGGTCGCAACGGAGCTTCTGGATGCAGCGTTGACGATTCGTGGACATTTCGACTGGATGCATACGAGAAAAAAATCACGGTAAGCTATAGAACATTAATTCTAAACATCTAAAACTGTAAATTCCGGTAGCTAAAAAATGTCTTGAGTCAATGTTTTAATGGTAATCGTAAGTATACAGTGAGTACAAAATGTATTAAAGAAAATTTTATTTTTAAAAAGTATATATTATTATTCAGTGAGAAAATATGATTCGTCAAATTGATGACGAATCGATATCGATATAATCGATACAATGAATTTGACACCAATTTGACATCGATTCAACATCTAATTAGCGTCATTTTTTGCTGAGTAATTAACAATTTATTTATAAAAAATAAAGTAGACTGTACGTTTCACAAAATTATATATATATATATACACACCAAAAAGATGTGTATTAATTATAGAAAATATATATTATTTTAAAAATAAGCGAAAATGAAAAATTGTTTGGACGCCCCAAAAGTATATTCATACTAAAAGTAGGTATATACAATCGAGAAACTTTTAAAATCAGGAATACACGCGAAGCTCATCGTTTATGTTGGAACAGAATGTTATTCATTGTATTCATAAAATTACTAATTATTTAATGTTTATTTTCTACAAATAAGGCTTTTTTTTATCAAAAAAATTTTCTTATACGAATACTTTTCGCACTCACTGTAGCTTTTAATTACGTACGAAGGATTTCTATAACTAGGAAAAGTCCTCTTGGCAAATAAATCTTATAGTTCTTTGATAAAAAAATATATTAAACATTAGCTTTTCTTGAAAGAAAGAAGAAAAATTTATTGTTTTAACATAATATTTATATATATATATAAATTGTGTGTACATATGCGTACTTTTGGGTATATTAATACTTGTTAGTAAATTCTACAAAGTTTAACCAAACCATCCTTCTTTAATAATCACATGTTACATACTACTTTTGATTTTCTTCATGAAATTTCTTTTACATATATATTATAATTACAATGCGTGTTAAACGTTGAACGCACGTTAAACGGGAATATTTTATATTATTTGAACATCTATTAATTCGCTCGATTTCTCTCTCGACGTTTATTCGTATCATTCAATATCATAACTTCTTAATCTCGGCATTTTTGTAATTCGCTCGAAATGTTCTCTCAAGTATACTTATCATTAATACGGCAAGGCAATATGTCCACGAATCGTTTCCAAAAGTGAATCACGAGAAGGATGGGACGGCACATCGACTTTATCGATCCCGAAAACTTTCCGGCACGGAATAGTCTCTTGTATTCGCACATCTAAAAGCCATGTTAAGGCAGCGTTTTCCGAAGGCCGGCCTTTCACTTCCGAGGGGCAAAAGCCAGACGGTTCTCGAGTTACGATCGTCACGTTTGGATTGAATAGAATAAGTACGAAATATATGCATATAAATTATTTTAAAAGAGGGAATGGAATTCCTTCTTGTGGAAAAATTCGTGGAAAAACCGTAGAAAAAATTTACCAACATTGTCTTTCCTTCCTTTTTTTTTTGTATATCAGGAATGGCGCTGGAACTTTGAAAATCGTTGCCTTAAGGGAAAAATAACAGGATGTACTTCCGCTTGATCGGTATATTATATTAGTTAATCGCTATTTAAATCGCTATGTGGTGTGTTGGAACATTGGTACAAGTACGATATATTTATGGAAAGAGACAAGAAAATTCCCGGTTGACCCCGGGGCCAGTGATGCGTTTATTCTTTTTTTCTTCTTTTTCTTTTTTCTTATACGTGTACAGGTACAGATATATAACATCGATTTGTGAAATCGCCTAATCGCTAGGCTATGGTCCGCAAAATATTCGTCAATGCGCCGATACGCACGAATACCTTTTTTGTAGTCTCCTATTTATTAGCATACCGGCGTACCTGGCAATCAACGTTTCCTAAACCTAAATCTACACATACACACACGCACGCACACACGCGCACGCACACACACACACACATTGTGTATACGTGTGTGTGTACGTATGTGCGCGCGCGCGCGCGCGTGTGTGTGTCTGTTTGTGTGTGTGTAATTTGTGCACGCACAAGATGTCCCTTACATCTTCAATCGCCCTCATCGAATGTGATTTTATCTCAAAATTTGAAAAAAACAATTTTTTATTATCATTCTGATTAATGAATATTTCCATAACGTACCGCAAAATATTCGTGGCTGTCACCAGTATTACTTTAAGTAAGATATTTTTATATATATATATAGAACATAAAAATGATTCAGTATATATGCCAAATTTCAAATATATCAAAATATAAAAGCAAAAATAAAAAATTGCGCGGTTATAAATGCGCTACAATAACACAAAATATAATGTATATTTTAACTTATTATTATAAATGTAATGCAAATTTAATTTCCGCATGTTTCGGCTGACTTTTAACCATCTTCAATGATCGTACTAAAGTAAAGAATTATTTAAAAGTATTAGAATTATTTAAAATGTTTGTGTTCACAAGGAATAAATTCTTACGAATGCAACGTATCGAAATATATCAATTATATAGTTAATATATGTGTGTGTGTGTGTGTGTGTGTGTGTGTGTGTGTGTGTGTGTGTGTGTGTGTGTGTGTGTGTGTGAGAAAAAAAATCACAGATTAATTGTATTACGATTCATTTAATCTTTCAAATTATAATCGTAGATTATAATCGTAGTATTACATACTATAATCTCAATTACAAAATAATAAATATTAGGAAATAATTTTAATCGATATTGTTAAAAACGTAAATAATATGTAAAAACAATTATGAGATATTACAAAAAATATTATAACATAAAACTATAATATCTGTATAAAATAAATCACTTTATTTATTTTATGTGATCTGAAAAAGCTTTTTACATTTTTTACATAATTAAAATTAAAAATTCTTGTACTTCCTTTAGATGCTTTAACAATATCACTCGTCTATACATTATTAAGTCATACAATAAACTTAATAATTTTTGCAAGTATGTATATATATATATATATATAGAGTGTTTCAAATTAGACGTACTACCTGCTAATGTCAGATTTTTGAAGACATTTTGAGATGAAAATTCCAATCCTAAAATGTCTTAAGCGTGGTACAATGCAAAGTGCTAGAAGTAAAAGTCAATTGTTGTCTCTTGTTAATATCGATATAAATGTTACGTATAAATGAAGATAAAATTACTGATATTTGTAATTATTGATATTTAAAATTATTGATGTTAAAAAAATGTTTATTAATAATTTATTATGCCTGGGATATTTTGATATTGGAATTTTCATCTCAAAATGGCTTCAGGAAATGAATTTTCTGCCATTAGCAGGCGGTGCATCAAGTCTGAAATACCCTATATATACAGGAATGATTTCAGATTATTTAATTTAAATTAATGATTTATTTTCTCTGTGCAAAATCACAAGAGGAGAGTGGAAAAGGATAAATTTGCACTCAATTAATATAAATTTTTAAAGAATTTTTAAAAGAATTTTCATCTCTGTTAAATAATTATTGCCCGAAATAAAAAAATCGCCTGGAATTGGACGTCGAGATGCAAGGTCCATCATGCATAGCAATTGTGATTCTTTTTTTATCGTCGTACCTTGACGGCGCGCGGCACTTTGCCGGGATATTCTCTGGTGGAAGTCGATAAAAGGGATGTATCAAGTATACACGATGCTCAATTCGCTGGAACGTGATCGTTTTCGCGTTGCGATCGTCCTCGTTAAAATCGTACGCTATAAGATGGACGGAAAATCGTCATTTGCAATTACCTCGCCAAGCTCACCTCGTTTTCCAAACGCATCGTTATCTCTCTTAACAGCTTTTACCGACGAATATATTTTGTCAATACTGATATTATTTCTCACATACGTTCTTTTTATTAATTGTAATGTCATCAGTAGTATTGATTATCTTGATATTAACTCTCTTCAGCTTAGCTAGAATAAAAAGGCTTTGTGCTTTTATTTATAGTAAATGCAAATATGTATATAAAGTATTTAAATTAAAATTTAAACCATTTCAATTACAGTATCTGTAATTTAAAAAAATGACAAATATAGAGGGACAAACTGTGTGTACTAACAAAATTCTTATAAACTCTCGCACTTATTTTTACTTTTATGTTTCGTTTTAGTTTGTTATATTTTAATTATGGAAAGTAGCAGACATGAATATCAATGAATTCTCTTAGTTGTTTTATTGATTGCATCAGCGTTACTTTCAATCTTAAAATTGATCTAATTATTCAATAAATTTTAAAATCTCATTATCTTTATGTAGAATAAATTTACATAACAATTACGATTTTTATATTTAATATATAGATGAATTTATAAAAATTAATATGATTGGAAACAAGACCGTCTATAATAAATATTAAGACTTTAAATACAAAGCGCCTTTTCGGTCCGAGTGTTAAGATGTTGAACTACTATCTAATATACATTCAATTAATTTGAATTAATATTTCAGAAATAAATTGAGAGCCGATGAAATTATCGGATTCACACAATCAATCTGAAACAAATAAT